GGATGATGGTGGCGGAAGGATCATCGGTAATTTCCGGCTCCGCTCGCATTTCATCTCTACCACTTTACCTGACCCGTGTTCCTGTAACCATTGACGGCGACGAAACCGGTGACCTTCATTTCTCCCGTTTGCTGTAGCACCACATGGAGCTAATATTGTGACCTGGTTCTTTGTCGCGACTCGCTTCTGGACATCGCGCCCCTGTCTGCTGTCTCTGCACCTGTATCTAAGAACCTTCTCATGATATTACCGAACTGTTTCTGCTGCTCGGCTTATCATCATCTGTAAGCATGTATTCGTCTCTCTGTAGTGTCGGAATTCCATAATGATGGGGTTCTCTAACAAAAAGTGCAAGTTACTACAGCACTACCCACATAGCAGAAACTGTCCTTGTTTACACCTCTCCTCCCTTCTCAAAGCGAAGAAATCAATATATTTTCGCAGTGACTGTGAGTACGTAGCCCCATGTTGACTTGTTATGATTTCTTGGGGATGTCTGAATAATCACAGTTCGCAGTGCGACGGTCAGATGACATTCGGTAAAGTCCCTAGTTATGAGATGATGTAGTCACCGTGTGAGGTTAGAGTCCCCTTATTAGAGTGAATGGCCAGGAGTTCGTACGTTCTTTTTTCCCCATCCAAGGACTGCATGTCACTGGGTATTGACAATCAAGCCTTGTCATGAATCCAGACGCATTGAAGGAATGACGCAGTTCGTCTCAGGATTTCACATCCTTTCAAGAGATATGAATAATATAAGCATCCTATGACCCGAAACTGAATACAGGGTAGTTAATCCAAAGCAACCATGTACCCATCAGCAATTTCAGCTAGCATGGCATGATGTGGTTGGAAAGAAAAATTTATACACTCAAAAGCAGAAACATTTCCCCATACTCAGATATAGGGAGTTGAACCCCAAATTACCGTGTGGAAGTGTTTCCACTACACCAGTATTCTGCTACCTCAGAATCAAAATATGATCTGATCCCCAAGGTCGACCTTCCGACGAAACCAATGCATAATCATAACCATGTGAAGAGATTGTCGGTGAAATGGAAAGAAGATTTATTTCTGCCACAATAAGTAACCACAATCCACCTCTCCTCAATCTCCCCCGCTGTTGCCTGTCTCATTATCCCAATGCCATCCTGCACTACGCTTGAATCATGTCCTTTTCCTCTTCCGAAAAGTCATTTGAGCAAGGCCACACGGAGGACGACTGAAAACAGAACCTCAAAGGGTATCACTTCTCATTCTCATTCCATATCCATCGTTCGGACATGGCATAGCACACACGTGGCATCTGCAGGGGTTCAAATCCCCTATTCGAACTTATGTTGATAGTGTATGTGATTCTTTTTTGTTTTCTTCTTCCTTGCCTTGCCGCCTCAGGGCCAGGTCCTAGGAATCTCATATGTTTTGTGGAACGTTTTCCGAGACCTCTGCGATTAAGCATTAGAATTCTAAGCTTCAGATCGACGGTGCAAAGCCATATATTCAACAGCATACATCCACTCTTTACCTTCATTAGATGCCCATTCAGATATAGTCTGAAGGCTAACACTGCCTCCCCAGTTCAGGGTTCGAGTCCCAGTATCTGAATTCCTGTCTATGAAGCCTTCAGGCGAATTTTTGCGGAAGTAGAAGAGCGTATACTTTCTGCCTTTCGGCCAATTGAAAAGCTGTTTCTACTTTGCACTCTTCCCATGTACATCGTCGTTTGATCGTTACAAGAATACATGCCAATAAACAGTAGCGTCGGGTTGGAAATCCATGTGAGTCACTCCCTGTGTGATCAAGAGACTCGCCCATATGACTGTGATTCTTCAAAGTCACTCTGCATAGACCACTCTGTTACCTGGTACCTACTGCATCATTTTCACATGCTTGGATATGGCGTAAAGGCTAACATTGCTTGAGAAGCTGCAGGGTTGGATTCCACATTTCCGAATGTTGTCCTACAGAAAATTTTTATATGAGCAGAAATTACGCAGTCGAGTACAAAGATGAATTCACAATTCATGACCATGATGAACTGGCCATTTATTTCATTTTGTCCCACTGCTGCGTTTCCGAAAATCTCTCTATCCTTACGCACATAAACACCCATATAGCCCTCCACACCGTTTCCGTCGCTTGCCCCAACATCAAGCATATAATGTACAGGTACCGTGAAGCGGCCTCTAATCTAGGCACCATGGTATTCATAGGTAGGACCATGCGAGGTGAAATGGAACAGACAGGCTTGGTATACATGTATCTGTTCTATGACAGCAGCTCATCACTGGGATGAAGGAGGAAGTAGTCCACGAAGGCTATGTAGGAAACCCTTCTCCATAGAATAGATTTTCAGTTATCTCAAGTATATGTGGAAGCTGTATTTTGATGCGTCCTGAAACAAAATTTATAGACTAAAAGACGAAGATCTTTGTTACTATTCAGATATAGGGAGTCGAACCCCAAAGTATCACCTGGAAGTGCGATAACGTTGGCCACTACACAATGAGTCTGCTACCTTTCAGGACCTAGGGACAGAAATTATCCCTCCTCTGCACAGCCGCCACCGTCTATTTCATTAACCTACCACCATCCCTCGATTCAAGCCCTGTTCTCTCTTCCGAAAAGTCTTTCGGGAAGTTTCCAACTAAACTACACGGTGACGCAAGACGGGTACTACTTGTCAATCTCATCGTTCGGACGTGGCATAGCCTGCATATCTAGCAGCAGGGGTTCGATTCCCCACGTCTGACCTTGGAGTAGAACATCGATTCCCATTTGTTGTTTTTTTTTTTTATTCACAGCCCAGGCGGTGGCAGTCATGGAATGACCTCCGACTCCCCATGCTTCAGCTCAACGGTACAAAGTCATACTCACCTTGTATTTCAGCACATATGATAGGATTTACTTATAATTTTTCCGCTAGGAGATAGTCTGAAGACTAATACTGTCTTCCCCGGTTCAGGGTTCGATTCCCAGTATCGGAATATCGATGTCATGTTACAGAATTTTTGCGCAACACCATTGAAGAAACAAAAGCTTTTCTCTCTTACACTGTTTGTAGGAGCCTCCTCGTCGTCCAGTATAGTCCTAGCATCTAGATGTTGTACCCTTATGAAAGACGTCTGTCAATCGAAGACTTTCCAATGAACAGCAGGAGCTCACATCGTCCGAAAGGACAATTTATTAGTCCCAAGGGATACTTGTGACCCATTCGTTAGGGTGTATGGCAGATAGGGGTTCAATTCCCCGTATCCCAATAAAGTTGGGCTAGGTATAAAAAGTTTTGACCCACAAACGAGTGCACATCACGATCCATGCACACTGACACCGACACCAGTTTTTCTCGGAAGAACGAATGCATATTATGTAGGTATTATATTTCTCTTCTCCGCTTACTCTCTGTCCCCATGTCGGGGTGCACATCCTGCACGAGAGAATCCCTCGTCGTCCCCATAATAACTACCATTTCCTCCACACCGCAAATACAACATATACATCCACATCCTTCCCACATCATCCCCCCCTTTTCCCGTTCCCCCTACTACGTGCAGGAACCCAGAAACCTACGCACGACGTTATTCGTACCGACGGAGATAGGATCCCATAAAGGAGAATAGGCTTCCTGCCGAAGAGTCATACAATCAACAGAGAGATTTGGAGTGGGCCCTTCTATTCTTTGGCAGAAACGTGATGTGGATACGTAACCGAGATCCCGTCATAGAACTGGAGGAGTAAGCGACCCACGATGGCAATGAAGAGATGCACGGGAGGAAGGGTCCGGTCTGTGGAGTTCAGGGCGTATAGGGCAGCAGGGAATGAGGACGGGGCAAGGTAGATGCGGACAGCGGATGTGAGTGAAACTACGTGCATTCACAGAGCGGCGATGTGAAAGAAGCATGCAGATCGCTCCGGTACGCCTTTTAGAAAGCGGTCACACGTCTGTGAAGCAACGATTACTCTTCAAAGCAAGGGATATTCGTTCCTTCCATCCACGGTGTATCGACCATCTGAGTCAGTGCTCAACAGTTCTATGACGCAACGAATGAAACAGAAGATGATCAGAATAAGGTCGACAGTGACACGTACAATCAGGTCGTAAATGATAGAAGGATATGATACGCCATATGGTCAGATGGTATATCCTTGTCCTCGATTGAAGAAATTGGCGCTGCACGTCTGAGATCTGAAGGTGTCACCGAAGAACCAATGAGCTCGATATAATACAGAAAGAAATGCAAGACGCACCCTGTGCCGGCATGTACGTCTCATAAATTCTCCCAGTCAGCCATAACCGGCCACCCCTCAGCATTTCCCAGCACACCTAAGTCAAAACAGTGGCGTATATTCGTCCCCCTATCGACTGCACGACCCGTAAGTGCACAATGGTCAACAACTTCCTTCTGCTGCTGGCGCTGAGACGTCGGAAGCGTGCTGATAATTGTGGACTACAGGCGGCAGTGATGTCAATCGTTGACCAAGGGTAAAAAGGAACAGCATACCTAGCACAAAAACACGCATACTCCGTAACGCTCCCTGAAAATCCATCCCCCTTCTTTCACCACGAGCGATGCAGCAGTTTCCATCGTTCATACTCAGCGGTGCGAGGATGCGCGTAGTGAACAACGAAGATATCGAAGCTCTAGAGCTATTTCCCGGCCTCGGAGTCAGCATTAAGACTAGCAACTAAAACAAACCAGCCACGTACCATCTCCCGAAGAAAAGAAGCCCTCAATCCAAACCTTGTTCCTTCCTGTGCAAGGTGAGCCCATTTTGTAGAGGAATCAGGTATAATTCAAGCCGCAGTTGTAAGGACATGAAGGCAACGTGTTTAAAGAAGGGAACGAGTCGTGATGGACGATGGTGGCAGAGGCACCTTCGGCAATATCCGGCTCCGCTGGCATTTCCGTCGCTACCGCCTTTTCATTGGGTTCGTTTGCTGTGGAATGACAGTGCTAATATTTCATCTTGGTTCACGGGCAACCTGCCCCGATCCAAATATGATTGAAAGGCTCTTCAAAATCTGGTACCTACTTTCTCTGCATCGAAGCTTTTGGCGATATTGGCGAGACTTCGACAACAATACTGCCGGGTATATCTTCATTTGCAGGTGCGTCTCCTTTTTTCCGATATCTCTGTGGTACCTTGATCGGTTTCTCCCACGAAAACTAAAAAGATCCGGACAACGTTATCGAGTATTTACTAGCCTTAGCTAACTCACTTTTTGACTTCCGCCGCAGTCATCCTCGAAGCGACGGTGAGTACGAACTCTATCTTATGTCTATTATCAATACACAGGTGAAGTCCGCAAAACCACGGAGCGAAGCACGAGTGTGGGACACTACACAGGGGTGAGAACGAGCCAGGTGACGATCTCAACCAAATCGCGTCCCTGGGAGCATTCCTGCACCTCCTTTTCTTTGCAAGCAAGGTCCAGGATACCAAGTTGGACACGGAGTAGTATAAGCAGACTACGGGATCAGGCAAGTAACATATCTGTTCGGAAGATCGCTCAGGCATCAGATCTCTCTTCATACACATCACGGGACTCTTCTCCGCATCCGAATACTTTCCCCCAGTATTTATGAGCATGATCAATATCAAACACGTTCATGCGAGGCCCATTCATTCGCGGGATCCTCGAGAATACCGTCGCGTCTCTCAGTTTGGAATTGAACGGCTGTAATGCGGACCCACAGGACTTTGCTGAGATGATACCCGTCGCTATTCGAAAGCTGTGTATATCGTGGTGCGATCCTAATGTGCGCTTTCTTTTGGGACCTCTCAGCGTCGAGGATTTGGAGGTGAATGGACTAGGTGCGTCTCTTTGTGTCTCTCTGGATAGGAACTAAGTAGTGTACAGGGACGGATGGTGACCGCATGAGTATTGGCGTCACCTTACGGCGACTCACAGACACCCATCTTAACACACTCAAAAGATTATGTTTTGTTAATGCATGCCAAGATGCGGGATGTCGTGACGTCTTGCATTTGGTGCGCGGTTTCGATGTAAGTTCCGATTGCTATGCCTACCTTGTAAAACTAATTAATCCTTTCGCACCACAGGCCCACACGAATGGTTTTCCTCGCTGGAGGAGCTCGTTTTGGATATCCCACTTCCTCAAGATATAATCCCAAAGCTCGTCAAGGCGATATCCGCCATTCCCGTCCTTAAGGTCTTTCGTATCGTCTCCTGTACGTCTGAGGACGGCGTGTGTAGTAATGTTCCTCCGTTTTAATTACAGAGCAGTATGATGAAGAATTTGGATGTTCAATGGTTTAGCACATTGTGAGCAGGACGCGTCATCAGACTCGGTACCGTGTTCGTGAATATGAACCTATGTTTTGAACAGTAGGTGATACTCGCGATTCGCCCTCCCTACGCTGAGGTTTCTCTCTATACAGTTCTCTCAACCTCGGTCAATCAACATGCTGTTTCCAGTACACCATTAACGAATGTGATAATTGGGAGTAAGTACCTCCAGTACCGTATTGCCCGAACTGTGAATTTAACCGTGAGGATCAAATGAAATAAAAGCACTCATCAATATGAGCATTCATTCTATCGCCAGAAACCAAATGACCCGTATATCTTTCGCCAGGTACCTAGGACAAAGCAAATGGTCTCAAATGTCAAACGTTTACGTGGAAGCTATATTGCAACGTGTCCCGAAACAAAATTTATAGACTGAAAGATGAGGATCTCTGTCTATTCAGATATAGGGAGTCGAACCCCAAGGCATCACGGAAGTGCGATAAAGTTGGCCATTACACAATGAGTCTGCTACCTTTCAGTACTCAGGGAAAAGAATTATCGATTCTCTACCCTGCGACATATTTCATTATCCTACTGCCATCCCTCGAATCAACCCTCTTGCCTCTACCAAAAAAATGTTTTGGGAAGTTTCAACTAAACCCCATGGTGACGCAAGATACGTACGATTTGTCAGTTTTACCGTTCCGACACGACAAGCCTACATATCTAGCAGCAGGGGTTCGACTCCCCACATCTGAACCTTAGGGTTTCTCATCGATTCACCTTTTTTTCATCACACCGCAAGCAGTCTAAGTGGTAATCCCCACAATGGCGAAAAGTAATATTCAGCAGCCCGCATATGATAAGATTTTCCATTCCGAGATAGTCTGAAGGCCAATACTGCTCCCCAGTTCCGGGTTCGATTCCCAGTATCGGAATTTCAGCGGGATTAACAAGGTTTTTGGGCAGCGCCATTCATGAATCAGAAGCTTTTCTCCCTTCATACTAGGAGCCTCCTTGTCACCCTAACGATGAGATGGGATACACTTTGTTTGTATGTGAACATCCTACTGACAGGAATGCACGCCCCAGATCCCAATAGAGCGCAAGCTTCGAGCATCTCACTACCACATCCAAAGACGTGTGCATTACGAAAAGTGTTATATCATATACGAAAAGTACGCAACTGCAAAATACCTGTAGTACCCTTTATGAAAGATGATTGACAATCGAAGTTTTACCAAGTGTTCGATTCTCCATACCCAATAAAGTTGCGCCAAACATAAAAAGCTTTGACCCACAAACTAGAGCACAACACAATCCATGCAACGGCGTGGCACAGTCTCCACACTGGCACCAGTTTCTCTCGGAAGAACTAATGCATATTAGGTATTATATTTCTCTTCTCCGCTACTCTCTGTCCCCATGTCGGGGTACACATTCTGCACGAGAGAATCCCTCGTCATCCCATAATAACTACCATTCCTTCCTCACATCTTTCCCACATCAACACCCCTCTTTCTGTCCCTCATACGACGTGCAGGTACCCTGAAACCTATGTATGACGTTACTCCTACCGGTGGAGGTTGGATCCCATAGTAGAGAATAGGCTTTCCGCAGAAGAGTCATAGTGGATATGGGACTGGGACCGTGCCATAGAGTTGGAGGACTAGGCCACCCGTGATGGCTACGACGAGATGTACGTCAGGAAATGTCGGGTCGGAGGAGTTTAGGGCACATAGTGGAGGAGGGAATAAGGATGGCTCGATGTAGGCTCGGAAAGCGGACGCGCAACTACGTGCATACACAGAGTGACAGTGTGAAAGAAGCATGCAGATCAATCAGATACGCCTTTCAGAAAGCAGTTGTGCATCTGTGAAGCAGCGATTACTCGTCAAAGCAAGGGTTATTCCTTCCTTCGATTCACGGGTGTCAGTGCTCGACAGTTCCATGGCGCAGCGATTGAAACAGAGAATGATCGAAATAAGGACGACGGTAATGCGTACAATCAGGTCACAAATGATAGAAGGATACGCCAGATGGTCAGATGGTATATCCTTGTCTTCGATTGAAGAGATTAGCGCAGCACGTCTCTGAGATCTGAAGCTGGCGCTGAAGAACCAATGAGTTCAATGTAATACAGAAATAAATGTAAGACGCACCCTGCACCAGCATGTAAGATTCAGTTTCATAAATTCCTCCGGTAAGCCCATAACCGGCCACCGTCTGCATTCCGCAGGACACCTTAGTCAAAACGACAGCGTATATGCTACGTCCCATCCACAGCAGATGCGCCCCTCGAAGAGTATTCACCAAAGTTTCCTTTGCATAATAACCAACGAGAATTAACGGAGTCTCAACATGTCCTATATCAGAAATGTCAGCACGAAGGATTTCAGGGAACAACGATGGCTTGCCAGTCCTTGTTAATGTTATGATAGTATACCCGTCTTCCAGCCAAGACGTTACAACGAACCATAAGCTCACAATGGTCAACGACTTCAAACTGAAATCGTGAGCTAAGGCTGTGCACAAAAATAACCCCAAGCCTATTGTACGACTCGCGAAACAGATTCTCGAACACCGATGAGTACCACTATGGACACAAGTCCCTCATCATGTATATCGACCCATTGCCCGTGATAGCGATAGATGCATCGCGCGCGCTGAGATCAAGAGGCAACGTATCCCATTGCAATAAGATCGGTATCATGCTAAGAGCTGGCCCTGAGACGTCGGAAGCGTGCTGATGAATATGGGCTTCTAGATGGAGAGATATCAATTGTCGACCAGAGATTCTGAATGAAAAAAGAAAAAGGCATGCCGCACAACAGCACGCATCCTTCGTAACGCACCCTGAAAATCTCCCGTCTTTTCTCACATACCATGCAGCAGTTTCCATCGTTCGTACTCCGCAGTACGAGGATACGAGTAGTAAGCAAACAATGAAAAGATCGAAGCGCGAGAGCTGCTTCCCTGCCTGGGAGTCAGAATGAAGACCAGCAATAACAAAAAACTAGTCACGTACCATCTCCCGAAGAAAAGAAGCCCTCGACATAAACCTTGCTCCCTGGTTCGCAAGGCGGTGCCATTGCGAAGAGGGTTTGTTTGAAACGAGACTGTAAAGAAACGGTGGCAGAGAGTCTTTACAAAGGACGACGAGTCGTGGCGGACGATGGTGTTGGTGTTGGTGTTGGTACCGGCACAAGGTCCCAATAAGGAACGGCCGGGCCCACAGCCCAAACATGGCAAGCCATGCGCTGTGGCCACGAAGGCTCATACCGTTGTGATCACACTGTTGAGTATGTCGCTAGCAGAAAGAGAGCACCTTTGGCAATTTCCGGCTCTATCCTCTCTACTGCTTATTCCGGCCAACTTTCAATCTCACTCATGTAACTATTAACCAAAACAAAGCTGAGGTCATTCATTTCGCTTGTTCTCAGTAGCATAGCTACACGGAGCTAATATTTCTCCTGGTTCTTTCTCACAACTCGTTTCTGGACATTTCGCCCCAACCTGCTTTCTCTGCACCTGTAACTAAGAACCTTCTCCCGCTATTACCGAGGAGATTGGGCTCTTCTTATCATCATTTGGCAGTACTTATTCCTATCTCTGTGGTGTCGAAAAACCATAAAGATAGGTTTCCATAGGCGGAAGAGATGAGTTATTAGAGCCTTATCCGCATTAGCAGAACCTGCGCTTGTTTACACCCTTCCTCCGTCCTCAAAGCGAAGAAATCGATATTTATGGGGAGAGTACGTAGGTCCATGTAGAAGGGCAGCCTGGATAGTCATGGTGAGGAAGGCGTATTTTGGGGCAAGTGCGAATATCATTATTCTGTGGGTGTTACTCATCGTCTATTGTGTATAGGATGCTGAGGCGGCACCACAAAAAGTGAGAAAAGTTTACCAAGGATTATAACCAAATTGTATGGTATATAAACCAGTTATATAAGATAATATTGGTTTATATTGGTTTATATACCATACAATTTGGTTATAATCCTTGGTAAACTTTTCTCACTTTTTGTGGTGGCCCCCCCTACACGATCCACCGTTCCCCACTTCCTAACCAATGACGCACCGACTCAACCTCCTACACGAATTATCCTCCCTTATCGTCGACTTCACGGACCGGGAAATCCTCCTCTATCGGTCTCACAGAGGAGCACATCCTCTACGATCTTTACAGTAAAAGATCACCATCGTCTTAAACTCCACAACCCAGACATGCTCGCTGAACCTTTTTTCCTTCGATTCCCAGCGCCTATCAGCTATCAGATCCCTCTCCGTGTGTATCACAGGAACATTCCCTGCATCAGAATTTTTTCCCCTGATATTCACGAGCGTGATTGATATCAAACACGTTCATGTAAGTGGCCAATCAGGTCCATTCATTCTTGTCATTCTTGTGATCGTTGAGAATACCGTAGCGTCTCTCTCGTCAATCTAGAATTGAACGGCTGTAACACAGAGCCCCAAGACGTTGATACATATCGCTATTCGGAAGCTGTGTATATCGCAGTGCCACCTAGATGTACCCTTGTTATAGTTACAACCGTACGATGAATAGTTTTCGACTCTTGAGGGCTTCGCAAATCTTGAATAGGACCTGCCATCAGACTTGGTACCGTATGTGTAACATGTTGAATATGAATCTGTGTTTTGAATAGTAGATTGACAGTGGAAGACTGATTCAGTGTGGAGCCGAGTAATATATATTGAACCGAAGCAATATAGTTAGATGGACCATTGCGGCTGCAGCAGTGGCCGACGAAGTCTAAGATGAGGCTGCCAAGATCCCATGGACACATGATGCAAGCTAACAAGAACAAGATCCTCGACTCGTATTGTATTCGGTTGTGTACCAACTCGCCAGTCAGGGATTGAGTCGTCTTCCATTGGTACGGCTTGTCGTTCCTACAGTAGCTTAGAAAGACGGTATCCGATACAAAGATTTGTACAAACCTGAATAAATCGCTGCACACATTTTGCTACATTCTTAGCCAATTTAGAGCGGGTGATAGGACACGGCGGTGTTCTAAAATCTCTTGCTGGGATCTGTCGACTCCACGGAAGGTACCCAGGCCACTGGGACGCAATTCAATGAAAGTAATAGAAAGGAATGGAATAATTCACTTCGATTCTCACAGAAATGCTTGGTCCTCGGTCCTTGAACATTGGTTCGTCACGATCAATTAGGCGCCTGACCCGTGAATGCAAGGCGTCAGGCAATGCCAAACCGCATTCTGACGGATCCTGAACCCAAAAATATATTGGCGGATCCAGATTAACCTCCTCCACATATCGATGGCGGTCGCTGCTGGTATGAGGTTTGTACATGATTTGTGGAACAAATGGGTATCCAGCAGGAGACCGCCCAATAGTCACCGCCTCCCGGAAAAAACGAGCCTGCTCCCTGTGAGTGTATGTCACTTTCCCGAGCTGAGAGCTAGGGGAGTCGTATGGGAGCTATAGAGAAAACAACATGAGATAGTTTCACACAGCACTTTATGAGGAAGAACTGACAGGCGGCGGCGAGGGCACAGGCGAGACAGAATTGCCTGCACGAGGTGATGTTGAAGGCAGTGGGCTGTTATATGCTGCAGGTGGTGACATGTGTGATAATGCAAACACAGATGATATTCCATTGACAAAAATACTTGTGTGGTCCTGGGAAATGCGCGCCTGCACTTGCAGCAAGTGTTCGCGAGAGGGTGTATTCGACGGTGAACGCTCAACAGGCAAGGAGCTGGAAAGAAATTCGACTTCCCTGTGGTGCCCGCCATCTACATCGTCACTGGCAAACACTTTCCTAAACTCCAGCAATGACTGTATTTGGGGGTGATCCCTAATTCTGCACCATAGTTCGTTGTCGGTGACATCCTGATTATCGTCGTATTCGCCCATGATATTCATCCAATCTTCATCATGGGAAATGGCTACGCGAAGCATCGGATACTGAAAGGCATGTCAGCGTGACATCTCTGCTATAGAATAATGCATCACACCTTGGCCAATAAGTATGTGTTAATTTCAATTGAAGGATTTACGAGCTGTGAGGCCAATAATTAGGGTTTCAGGTGATGGCGATGGTTAAGTTTAGATGTCACCTTCTCACACACACGGTCCGGCATCGGCTCCGATTCGGTCTCCCAGTCATGCGCCGAGTCTACAGGAAGTTGAATTTTCTCCACGGCATGTGATGTTCCTCCAATAGAAGAGGAAGACCCGGAAGAACTGCCGGAAAAAGTAGTACTCCTGGTGTTTCGCGTGGAAGGGACAAATCGCGAAGGTTTCCCTTCCTCCGGGGGGTTCCTTTCTAGTTGTACCTCCGACCGCGAACGTAGGCTGAACAGACGACTGGGAGGATCCCCAGGAGTTATGGTATAACCACGGGCAAAGACACACTGGTTTTCAAACTCTCCAGGAGAGCTCATGTAGGTAACAGAAGCATCAGGAAAGGTGCGGGTTTCATTAATAACGCCAGGATCACACATCGCATGGGATGTCGATTCTCCGTTTGCGGCGCCTATGTTTAACGTAAACCCCAGTGTTTGCGTTCCACCTGGCTTGGTTACTACTGCTGTAGTCCATTCCTTTGTCTTGTCGCATCCAGTGACAACGTAAAGAGATTTCTCCGGCATCAAAAGACCGCGATGATCTGGGTTCGTAGCATAGTCGTACCATGACTCCCAATTTTGATAAATGTACTGCTTGACCTTTGCGATGTTCATGAAGTCGTATCTGGTCGCACTAATTGGAAGGCTCAAGGTGGCAGCATGGTCCTGAGAAGTGCTGTATTGGTAAGTACCTTCGGCAGCGAGGCTACTAGAAGAAATAACTATTATTTATCTTCTCACACGTAACTGAATCGTATACGCACCTGGATGCCTTAACAGATGCTTTCCCAGACTTCTCTGAGGAACATAAATGCCTGCTCACAACAACATGAGGAAGGCAACCCTCTGTTCGTCTCACTGGTCCGGGAGCATCGGGGTTTGGCATGGTAAGCGGTTCGAAATCGGGTGGTACATTGTTGCCATGCCTTGGATGTCCGGCTGGTCTGAAGATATTGAACAGAAAGTCGAAACCCCCACTGTCATTCAGGATGCCAACATCTCCAGGACATACACCGGTTCGGGTATACTCCTCCTCAACACTTGTATCTGGTTCCGGGTACCAGAATGGCTGCCCATGTCCGTTTCGAATGAGTTGGAGCTTGTAGATATTACAAACGCGATCTGACATGATGGGTGGAGGACGTAAAGATGGTATGTTCGTAACGGCATTTGTCAGTAGTGCAATGTTTGGGCTTGATCAGCTGATGTGCACTTAACCCTTCGAAGCGCCCACTGGTCCACTGCGGCACTGCCCTTTGATTCGTTCCACCAACACAACTTAATCCCATTTAAAATACGCAGATACTTTTATCTCTTCACATTATCGCAGAGATCTCATGTTACGAAAGAGAAAACCTTTCTTCTCATTCCATCGTCTTGAGATTGCGATATTTCATGAAGCCCTCCTTGGAGTACATAGTAGACTGGCATTCGATTATCCATGTGCCAATACGGACATGATCGATGGATTTGATAGCTTTTGTCTTATAAACATAGTGCAATACACGACGAAATGACCTTCTTACTGTATCAATCAAGTTAGCAAAAGGGTGTGGTATAGCCCCCATGCTGGTACCAGTTTCTGTCCTGGGCAGGCTGAGAACTGAATACATAACATATAGATTCCGCATCGGTGCTTCTGTTCTTCGGCAGAAGCTTGATGCGGATACTTAACTGGGATCCCGTCGTAGAATCGGAGGAGAAAGCCACTCACGACGGCTAGGAAGAGATGCACGGGAGAAAGGGTCGGGTTAGAGAAGTTTAGGGCACGTAAGGGAAAAGGGAATGAGGACGTGCCGGCACAGATGCAAACAGCACAGGCGAGTGAAACTCCGCACATACACAGAGTGGCAGTGCGAAAAAAAGATGCGGATTGCTCAAATATGCCTTCCTGCACCAGGAAGCAGTTGAACGTTTGTGAAGTAAAGAATATTTATTAGCTGAAAATGACAGAAGGGAGACTCATGACCGAGCTTCTGGAAGATTTAGGGAGTCATCTGGATATTGCGTAGGCAAAATCAAGCATGGGAAATTTGACCCTCCGTGTTAGAGCTCGACAACTTGAAGGCGCAATGTTGCAACGATTGAGACAGAGGATCGCAATAAGCGCAAGAGTGATGCAAACATTCAGGTTGTAAGTGATGGAAAGGTGCGCTAGATGGTCGGATGGCAGATCTTTGTCCTAGATTGAAGGGATTTGTGCTGAACGACTCTGGAAATCCAATGAGCTGAATACAATACCGAAATAGACGTAATATGCACCGTGTACTAGCATGTACACTTCATAAATTACCCCAGTTAGTCCAAAACCGGCGGTCACCCATCGGCATTTGCCAGTACGCAAAATCACAGCATATATGCATCATAGCAGCATCTGCAGATGCCTTCTCCAAGAGTCTTCGTTGAAATGGCACGAGAAATGAGGAATAATGGAGGTCGAGGAAATCATGGATGAGACACATCAGTGCGAGAAAGAATCCTTAAAGCGCGATTATGGCTCATGGGGACTTGCTACAATGGCATATCCATCTTCCAGACGATGCGTTTGTAAGGGACTCGGAAGTGCACGAGGGTATACGAGTTCGTTCTTCCAAATGATGTAACCTATCGGGTTTTTAGAAGAGCGATCAAGCGACTCACAAGCAAACCGGAAATCTCAGTACGCACCAAAGGAGACTGTGCATTCCCATCACAATATCCTTGCTCGATATTGAGACACTATGCCTGCTGGTGGGTGATACACGCTGAGAGTCAGAATCTCTTTCGCATCAAGACTGAGAGATGCGATACTGAACCAGTGCAGACCACTAGCGGGAACGATGTCAAGGGCTGTCCAGAAGAACGATAAATGACAGTGTACCATGAACAAAAAACACGCACCCTCTGTAACGTTCCCTGAAAATTCCCCATCTTTCATCAGGCACCATGCAGCAGTTTACATTGTTCGCAATCCTTATGAGTGAGGGAGAGTCCAGCAAGTGAAGAAGAGAGGTAAGCGCGAGAGCTGTTTCTCAGTTTGAATGCCAATTTGAAGACTAGTAACGAAAAAAACCAGTCACGTACCGTCTCCCGAAGAATATGGCCATCAATCTGAAAACATCGTTTCTTGGATCAGGTAGCAGTATTGAGCAGAGGAAGCAGGGATAATTCGAGATGTAGTTGTAAGGAAACAATGGCAGAAGTTACGACGGATGATGATAGCGGGAAGGAGAGCAAGCACCTTCGGCAATATCCGGCTCCGCCCTGCGGCACGCCCTCCTGTTGACGAAGCAAGGCTAAGATCCTTCGTTCACCGTAGTACATCACCACGCGAATATTTCGACCTGTTTCGAAGACATCCAGGGGGTGAGATTGACGAGACCTCGACGACGACACTGCTGGAGGTAATCTTCATATGCATGCATGTCTTCTATTTTCGATATCTATCAGTGGTATCAGAATTTGAGTTTGAACGGTTTCGCAAACAAAAATTAGAAGATCAGCACGACATGGAGAGATTAACTAACTCTACTGGCCCATGTCTGTCTTGAAAGGGAAGTTGGCTAATATTTCAGCAGTGAGTACGAGTTTTACCTTATGTCCGTTATCGACTTACAGGGTTGGTCTGCAAAGTCACGGTTCGAAGCACAAGATGTGGGACACTACCCAGGGGTGAGAACGAGACAGGTGACGATCAGAGATGTTTTGTGTAATGTTATCAGCTATGCGATAGCCAAGATGATGTAGTCACTGTGTGGGGTTCGAATCCTCATATGAGTGATATGCGAGGAATGTCTTTTTTCAATAGACGTATTGTGAGCTTGGCATCAGGATCATCTACAGTGGTGCTTGCATACCTAGTGGCAATACAAGTAGTTTATCTACCTCCGGAGGGAAGAAAATGTGTGAGGATATAACAAGCGGAGTCTAAGGAACTTTGGCAGACAGAATATATAGTCTGCCAGGAGGTAGAACTTCCTTCCACACAATTTGGAACATCCAGGGCCTTCGCTATTTCATCCAGAAAAGAATCCGAGACGAGCGGATGGATAGAATACAGAGCTAGAAGCAATGTTCGCGCCAGTACGTTGTTCTTTTCCACAACCTGATCATTCTCTGAATGAAGACGTATTGGCAGGGTGTCGAGTTCCGGTATTCCAAGAGGTGTTGCTAGGATGGCGATTGGAGAGAACACGACTTCAAGTTCGAGTTTAATGACGAGGAGAGATTACGAACCTGAGCTAGAGTATCAAGCACCAGCTCGAAGTTCTTTGCCGATCTGTCGCGTTTGAGTGCGTCCTTTCACTGTACGTTCCAAACCTCTTTTCTTTCTACACGAAAGCAGCAGAGCGCTTACAGTACCAAATCGCCTTCAGGTCTCTATCCTCGACACAAACAGTGCCCAAGGCTCGCTTGCAACTGTGTCCACCTCATTGAGTGTCACATCCGAGGCATGTCGCTGCAAAATACCATCGTGGTGGCAAGTACCAGCGCTGTAGCAACCATCAAACGCGTTTCTTTGATGGAAGGCGTCCTCGCCGCGGTCGTCATGGCTTGTGTTAACTTGATACGCTGCAACAAGGGACTATTTGTCATTACGTTTTAGACCATTTAGGTGCTATCGCTTGTACTCATGATTACTAGGTCATTATTCGTCGTGAACTACTATTGTACGATATCATAAGATACATTTCTATCCTCAACAAACATCCGGAGCCTGGACTTCCCGCCCAATCCGATTCTTCCGCTCCATTTTCTGGTTCAAATTAATTCCAAAACCGGTGCTGATCCCTAATACCCTGCAGCAGAGTATCCCATCTACACAACGGCTTGACTTCTTTGAATAACCTGAAAAGACGTAAGTTACTACGACTGAGAGCGAGCCCGTGAACCTACCAAGAGACGATAACAAAGGGGCCATTCGAACGTAAGCTCTTCCTCATTCATATCTCATGCCGACGTAGATCAAGGCGTAACGGTGCACATCTGAGGTTCGATTCCGTAGGTCCGCCCTAAAGATGAATCGCGGTAGTGACCACTTTTTGCAACCTATGCAAGGTTAGGATCGAAAGAGAACAACTAGGTAGCATTCCCTGTCCTAAAGAACTATAAACTATCAGAAAACCATCCAAGAAGTTCAAACCATGGCCAGCTCTCTGTTGGTGTCTGCGGTAACGTTCTCCACCCCCATCCCTGCATGTTACCTCCTGACGTCAATAGATATAAAGGCCCTCCTTGCCTTGATGATCACGTTTGTTCCGTTCTACATCCTCCTCTCAGAAGCCTGCGTTCTCGTGGCAAAGTAGATCAACAGTGTAATGGAAGGCTATCTGTGGTTCGATTTCATGGGGCAGCTCATCATCGTTTCTAGGGTATCATTTTTCTCTCAGTTGTCTTCGTAGAGCGTGTTGCCTGTAGCATTTTTTGTGATACTACAATTCACTATTTAAAGCACCGTCATAGATCGGCAGTATAGCTGGGTCTAAAACCTCAGTTCAAGTCCCAGGGATGGTGTTGTGTAAGGGGTTGTGCAAGTATATAGCCAACCAGCGATTTTTTCTCGATTTTGGCCGGTATCAGGAAACTCGCCAGCTCTTCTTGTCGGTGCTCTTATGTGCTCAGTAGGAAGTACCATCATAGATCAAAGGTAGGGTCCGAAGTGCCCCGGTTCGAGTCCGGACAATGATATACGCTGGAAGATTCAACATATTTTTTATTTTTTGGACATCGGTTCCAGATATATATGGGAGCGGTTACAAGTCGATGTCAAATTGAAAAATGTCATATCGCGTATCGCAACAGTGAGTGTATGCCCTCAGTCCCACCAGAATAAAATAATCGCTTCACATTACCTACCATCCCTCTCCATACGACAGGTTGCAGGTAGCAGACCAGAAATGTTGGAGGCAGTGGCACCGATGGTTCGAATCTGTTGGTTAACAATGAGAGATTGAAACTATACTTTTGGCCGCTGGGCATGTTGAGTTACAACTCAATATATCATTCCCTGGGAAGAGAAAGATACTAATACCTACTTAATTCCTTCGCATGGGGTTGGATGACTCAGATATCTGTTGTGTACCATCGTAATTTCATGGTCAATGTTACACTGAATGCTCCGATTCAAAGTTCAACATTTCAAGTCCTGGA